GGGCGGCTGCGCGGGGCCGCCGCTGCCGCGCAGGTGGTACGCGCGCGGGAAGCTGCGATGGGCGTCTGTTTTTCGCCGCCATATGCGAAGGGACGCGCGTTCCGCTCGCGGTCGGTGCGCAGTCCACATGCACGCGTCGGCACAAGGTGCACCAATCCGCAATGGCAGTGCTGGTCAACCAACGTTGGTCAACCAGTGCTGGTCAACCATTGCTGTTCAACCAATGCTGGTCAACCATTAATGGTCAACCGATGCTGGTCAACCAACGCTTGTCAACCAATGCTAGTCAACCAATGCTGGTCAACCGCCGCCCCCCAGGTGGTCCAGAGCCTGCTGACTGAGCCGCTGGGGCGGCCCCTGGACTTCACGCAGCCCATCGCAGACGCCTTCCACGCCATCAGGTCTGTGAGCCGGGTGGCGTGCGGGAACGGGCACGTGGTGTGTTTATGAGTGTGTTATTATGAGAGTGTGTGCTTGTGTGTGTGTGTGTGTGTGTGTGTGTGTGTGTTGACGTGACGTGTGAATTTCTCACGGGTAGGTAGCAGCACACCGCACCCCTACCAACACTGGTTTCCGCGACCAACGCAGCTTCGTCCCGAAGCCCTCCGCGGCAGCCATCGTTGTCGGCGCGGCACGCCCCGCCCCCGGCCCCACGGCCACCTTCACCACAACTCCCGCGATCTCCTCGCCCCCCGGGACGCCGAGCAAGTCGCGCGGCGCGGTGCGTCGCGCCGCGGGCGCGGGCGGCGCGGCGGGCGGCGCGGCGGCGGGGGAGGAGACGCCGGCGGCGACCCCGATGAGTGCGACGCGCGCGACGCGGCGCTCGTCGCGGCTGGCGGCGGCCTCCGTGGCGACGTCTTGACCTTGAGGGGTGCATTGCACCTGCAGCCCTTCAAGGGGACCCCAGCCCTGGGACGAGGCGCTGGGATGAGATCCATTATTTGGCCGGATGGGCAGCAGCCGGGGCCGTGGTGCGGCTGGGTCCAGGGCGCTTCCGGGACCCCCGGGGTTGATGAGGGGCGCGCAGCCTGCCGTCTTGCTGAGCGGCGCCCGTTGAGCTGGCCACGCCACTTATTTTAGACGGCCAGCCCACTTATTTTAGTCAAGCCCTGCGCGCGTGATCGATGCCTGCAGCGCTCGCTTGGCAGTCGCGCGTCTTTCTGAGTTTTCGGGTGCAGGAACGGCAAGCCAGGTTGGCGTGGCACCCTGGCCACTGGATGTACCCCATTCAATTTTCTTCCAGCCATGCCAGATGGGTGTGCTAGCTACCTGCCAACCTCTCTGCTCTGCGCCGGTTCTGGATGCCTGTAAACCCTCAACGCTGCACCCCATATGTGTGCATGGTGTGTGTGACAAATCGCATTTGCTGAAAGCACGCTTCCTGGCAAGCTCTCCAGGTGTTGCAATTAGTAATTCAAAACAGAGGACCCAGAGCCCATGAGCAAGCTCATTCGTATGGGGCTGGGCAGGCTTGTGTCCAGCAAGCTGATGTACACTGCTCGCCCCTTCAAGCAGCAGCAGCAGCAGCAGCGTGGGATGTTTTGCCTTTACACTCAGTGTGCGTGTGTGAGGTGTCGTCGGCCGTTGAGTGCCCGATTTGCACAGGGGTTGTACAGACGAACCAACATGGATACAGCACATGTACACGCCCCTGGTGTCAAGGGTTACTCCGGCACAGCATGCGCCAGCTCTTCGTACTTGCCAAAGTCAGCCGGAACACCATACGCCACTGCAGCACCCCTGATCAGCCGCACAGCATCGACGAAATCCTGATCCAGCCCAAGAGGCTCACATGGGGATCCCGCAGGGGCCAGCCCTCCCGCAGCTGCTGCCCCAGCTGCGGTGCCGCCGCCGCGGCTGCGGCCCGCTGCCGGAGTGCCGCGCCCTGCTGTTTGCTGGTGTGAACCCTCCTGTGCTGCAGCGGTGGCGCGTCTTGAAGCCAGCCTGGTCACCCTGCCTCCGCCCGCACCAGCGCCGCTGCCAGACGCGTCGCTGCCAGACGCGCCGCTGCCAGACGCGCCGCCGCCGCCGCCCCCACCACCCCGGGTGGCACCTGCCCCGCCAGCCGCGCCAAGCGATCCTGCGCCCATGTGGGTTGCACAGTGCAGTATACGTTGAATCGGCATGTGCTTTGTAGTAGTGTGCAAGCTTCACCTCTCAACACACGTGCGGGGAGGGGGGGGGGGCGAAGGTGCAGCTGGCAGAGCAAACAATACTTCCTCTGGATGGTGGGGCAGCCACCGTCACACACACGCGTCGATGCTTGTGTTGTCTTTGCTACCACATGCTTGGCCCGATGCTACCCACGCAATGGCGTCCGATGAACGCAGTGCCCTGCTGCAGGCACGCATGCAGACCGAAAAGAGGCGCATGCATCAGTGCGAACCTCACCTGGCACGTGCTGGAGTTGCTCTTGCAGCTGCCGGCGCATGAAGGCGACCGCCGGACGTCCATCTTCTGCTTCAAGAGGCGTCGCCACTTGCAGAGTGATTTCTGCGCCCTCTGCCACCCAAGTCACGACTGCATGCTGGTTGCAGTCACCAAAGGCGACAGGCAGTTGCCGGCCCGTGCCCTGTCGCAGGCCGATGCACTCCATCACCGCCTGTGGCCATGCACTCAATGCACCTTCACCTGCAGGAGCAGGGAGGGCAGGGCAGAGTGCCACAATTCAAGTGCACTCCAACATACAGGCAGACTACGTGCGATGGCATTTGAACATTGCGAATGACCGTACTGTGTGGATACACTCGTGCAACCAATCGGAGCCCAGTCGGGAACCATATGACACAGCCATGTGTGGAAGGGTGCAGGCGCAGGGCAGCATGACAAAGGCCTGGAATCATCGTGGGCCCACCTTGCACATAGGCCTGGGATCTGAGCTCGTAAGCACCCAGGACGCCCTGCAGGCTGCCCATAAGCTCAGGGACAGATGGCTCGCGGTCCACCGGGCCCCGCCAGACGCAGTCGGCCATGAAGACAAAGTCCGTGCCGCCGACAACGTTGACGTTCAGGTGGTTGTAGTCTGCGTACAACCACTGCCGAGAGGTGACGCGATACACCGTGACGCCAGGAGGGGCCATGTGATCCTGCAGCCACTGCCTGCATTCTGTCAGCATGGCTGGGTCCTCCTTACTCCTGGCGCGCCAGGCCACGGGAGCCACTTCTGCAGTAGTCACAGTACAGGAGTGGCAGCAACGGTGACTTTTCAAGCCGCTGAGCAGGGCTGAGTGTGCAGAGATGAATGTGTGTTGTTTTTGGGGGAGGGGGAAGGGGGCAAGGGCATCCCTGCATGTGCCATGGGCTAGGCCACCGTGAGCAAGTCAGCCATCCGACAGAAGTGTCACACGTGCATGCGTCGGCACAAGCCACAGCACGCCCAAGACACTCACCCCCTTGCTCCTCCCAGCTGGGCTGCGGAAGCTTGACGTGGAAACTGATGCCGTAGCCGAGGCGCTCGCACGCCGTGCGCACGCAGGAGCGGGTGGCGGAGGACATCGGAAAGCGGCACTCCGGCATGAGTGCCCTCAGCAGCTCCTTGACCTGCATCACGTCGTCCCTGAGCTCCTCCACCTGCTGCAACGCGCTGGCCATGAGGACCTCCTCCTGCCGCGTCAAGCTGGCCGTGAATGCCTCCCCCTGTCGCGTCAGGCTGGCCGTGAATATCTCCGCCTGCCGCGTCAAGCTGCCCCTGAATAGCTCCTCAATCCGCGCCAGGCTGGCGGTAATAGTTGCTGACAGGTCAGGGCCAGCTGCAAGCAAATAAAGGTTGGCGTCGGCGTCAGGCGCAGGCGAGCACGGGGGACAAACTCAGGGCACGTGCATCGCCAAAAGGTTATGCAATGGCCATCTCTGTGTGAGAGCCAAGCCAAGGCACGTCGTGAAACAGCTGGGTGAGGCACAGCGGTGGGTTGGACCACCGGGTGGTGTGCGGAACTTCTTGCGCACCTGAGCCAAACGGCCACAGCAGCGACCACAGCCACGGCCACAATGACCACCACGACCACAGCCACGACCACCACGACCACCAGGACTGCCTTGATGCCCCAGCCCCTGCATTGATGCATGCACCAGCATCACATGTGATACAGAAGAGAGGTTGTGCTGACTTAAGAGTGCAACATGCTCGTAGTGCATGCAAGTGGCGCTGCATGGCCTGGCGGCACTGTGAGTTGAGCAGCAGTGGCTAGCAACTTGCACATGAGGATGCGTGCGACTTGGATAATACAAAATTGATGCTGCATAGTTTGTTGCTCTGTCCACGCACAACAGCTTGGGGCTGCAGTGTTGGCGGGCTTGCCACACAGCACTATCACGAAACCCTGCAGCATCTCACCCGCTTCTGTGGATCATTTGCAGAGGCCCAAGCGAACGAGTAATGGTCAGAGGTGGTGAAAGGGCATTGTGGAAGAAAAGCTTAGAGGCGGTGATGGAGCACAGCAAGTGAGAAGAATTAGATGGGAAGCGCAAAGGTGCACAGTCAGTCGCGCACCCGCAGGCACACAAGTGGTGCCGACCAGGCAAAGCAAGCATAGAACATGCGCGCTTGCCGCAAGGACCTGACAGGGTTGTCACGCCGCCACACTTGCAGGGTGCGGTGCAGCTGCCAGGGCTCAGTGAGCCCTCAACCAAAGGTCAGCGCTATACAACGTCCGCTCCACCTGGACCAGCCACACTTACTGTTGCCAACCCCATAAAGCCTGAGCCCCAGCAGCCAATGCGTAATCAGGATTGTGTAAACGTGCACGCAGAGCTCACCTGGTGCTGCCGATCCTGCGCCTGGACAGCGAAGGACAGGATGGCGGCAACGCAGAATGGCAAACAACATCACGGGCGCAGAAGACAAGTCGGCGTGTGGCAGCATACATCATTGGGCGCGAACGAGGGGAGAAGAGGGAGAGCAGCGAATAGCAGCAAGTAGCAGCAGGTCCGGCCCATTGCTGTGTTGTCGGCATCGCAGATGAAACCGCTAACAACTGCCTCCCAGCGTCCTCAAGGACTTTTGGGTGCACAAGACACACTGCCTGGTCGCACCATCAGATCACCGTATCTCAGAAGGACAACCACACCCACCTCGGACGGCTGCCTGGATAGCCGCCTTTCGGGCGCCAACCGGCAGGCGCAGCAGACCGGCGGACCAGTCGACGGGCATCTGGCCGATAGCCACTGCCGCCTCGCCGCAGAACTCGATGTTGTCATCGCCGGGGAACATCTCAGGCAGTGCCAGCAGCAGCTGCTGCCTGGGAGTTGGCTCATCCATGGCGACTGGCGCCTGCGCGCACGGCGTCCAGATGGGCATCGTGGGGAAGGCAGCACATTAAAAGCTTGAGCTGGCTTTGTAACCAGCACGGCGATGAAGCCGCCATCAGGTTCAAGGCAGCGCTGCACCCCTTAGCAGGCACTGGGTGCAGCCAGGAGCGGCTGGCGCTCAGAGGAGCTGCCCCAGCCAGAGCGCACCTGGCAGCTACAGCTAGCCGGCTGCTCTCAAGGCCTACACGACGGCGCATATCATAAGCCATACGGTGCGAGAAACTCATCAAGGGGGCCTGTGGAAAGTTGCCTGGGCCTGGCGAAGATGGGCAGCGGCTTCGTTCAACTCGTCCCCACTCTCACCTCGCACTGCAAGCACTCCTCAGTCTCTTCTAATACGGTGATTCACGCTGCAGCGAAAGACCCGGACAGGGTTGCGTATTGGGTAGTAATCACCGTGCCTCGTCCGAAAATAGTCATCGATCAGAAAGTGCCTCTTTGCGAAAGCATTCTGTCAGACCAAGGGGAGGCTTGGGAGGCGAGCATGTTCCGAGTGTGAACCCGGGTGACTGCAGGTGACAGGGATCGCAGAATCACAAACGACATGCATATGTCGTGCACCCTTGGATACTACGCGCTCTCTCGTTCCGAATAACTTCAAGGAAAGGGCCGAAATGTCAGATCATTACACGGGGTTTTCAACAGACGCGGCGCACAGCTAGAGCCCTGTCAGCTTGCCATCAACTTGAGTGAGAGCAAAAACAGGGCAACTTCTTATTGCTGCACACGTACGGCGACACAGCCCGTACCCCCCTCGCATCCCGGAGGACGCGCCACAACAGCAGCAGCTGGTGGAGCAGCGGCGACGCAGCTCTGTCCGCAATGACGGCTGGCGGTGTGGGCTTGGCGGCCCTGCTGCACGGCGGCAGCGGCCACGGCATAGCTGCGGCAGCTGCGGCGGCGGCCGCGGCGGGGATCGCAGCGGCGGCAGCAGCAGAGGCGTGGGTGGCCCCGGGCCGCCACCGCAACCCGTTTGTGGCGAGCGCGCGTGAGGCGGCGGCGCCCGGGACCTCGGGCATCTGCCCACTCGGCTATGGAGTAGGGGACGATCCGAAGCACCTCTACAAAGTGAGCGGGGGCAGTGGCACCAGGGCCGCTGGGCGGCGGCGCCCGTGGACACGGCATCTGCTGCCCATGGGCCGGCCTCCAGTTCCTGTGTGCGTGAGGCCGCCGCGCCCCAGGACCGCGCGCCAGCCGGCGGCCGCAGCCGACAGCTGGCAGCAGCGCCGATGATAAGCGGCGCTTGGGGGAGTTCGACTCCATCACCCCGCTCACCCACTCTTGCCGGCTGGCGCGTCCCCTCCCACCAGACGTATCCCCCCGTGGATCTGCCCAGTGTGCTTTTCACGCTCCGCCCGAAGAACCTGGTCTGGGTGTACGTGAAGAAGTGAGTGCTGGGACGCAAGGGCGGCCGCGGCGCGACGCGTTAGTCGGCGCGGCGCGCCGTTGCATGCGGGCGCGGGGGCGGGCGCGGGGGCGGCGCGGCTCCGCTCTGGAGAGCTCGGCTTCGCGCTTGGCCCGTCCCGAAGAGCTCAAGCGGTCATGTGTGTGTGTGTCACGCTCGCACACACACACACACACACACACACACACACACACACACACACAAGCACACACACACACACACACACACACACACACACACACACACACA